GGCTTTTTATACTTTCTCTAAATCCTGCTTGAAAACAGGAGTTCCTTCTTCCACCCATTTTGCTCCTCTCATGTCATCACAGGTAGCTGAAAGAAGCTACCTGACACCTTGAACAGTCCTCCTGGGGGGCTCCTGAGCCACATCCACTAGTTGATTGTACACATTTTTAACTTTCCACGTTCTCAGCAGACTTTCTACCACTACACACAAAGGCTATCTCTGCTTATGCCTCTAGTAACAATTTATGCACTGTTCTTCCAGTGTTCCCATCAATTTCTTCAAGATTCTTCAGCTACTGATGAAGTCACAATTTCTATGTTGGTTTCATAATGCTACATAATAAATTACCAAAAACAATAGTCTAAATAGCTGTAAAGACAATTGACTGTTCCTCAGGATACCATACATAGAATTGGTAGTCCTGATGCTTCACATGCTGCCCATTGGGAAGTAGGAATGAGTAGCCAAAACTTCATGCAAATAATAGAAATGTGTATCTTGTCTGAACTTAATTGACTTTTCTATGATTTTCTACAAGTTTGCCTAAGAACTATTTTTTTCCCTAAGTAATTGACTATTGTGCTCAAGTCAAACAATTATGACTCAATTAAAATGCAAGTACATATATAGAAAAGGAAGTTTGAGATGTTTATCACTGAAACATGTAAGTAGGATTAAGGAAAGTAGGAAATCGAAGTCACCATTAATTAAACAGTACAACTATAAAGAGAAAATCTTTATAGACAGCAATTAATAATTCAGGTTCTAGAGTCAGAAGAACTTAATCATTCATTCAACAAATAATTATTGAGCTTCCACTATGTCTCAGGACCTGTTCTAGGTGTTGGGCAATATGAATGCACAAAAAAAAATTAAGGTTCCCTACTTTCATAATTAATAATATGGTCATAGAGATACAAATAAAATGATTAAGAGAAAAATTTCAAAAAGTAACAATTAAAGAGAGTGTTATAAGAGATAATATGCAAGAGTGGTGGGGTTCCTTTAGACGTGGTGACCTGGAAAGGCTTCTTAGAAGAGGCGACATGGGAGGTGAGTTATGACAAGAATGAGCTACCCAGGAGAAGATCTGGGGCAGAGAAAGAGTGAAGAGCCTAATGCACAAACAAGCTTGGCTCATGCAGGCACTGGAAAAAAAGGATGGCTGGGCTAGACTGCAGGATGGAGTGTTGTAGCAGAGATGAGGCGGGGCAGTCAGGTAGAGCTCTGAGGCCATCAGAAGGCACTTATTTTCTATTCTAAGCCATTAGACCAATTTAAGCATAAGAGTGGCATGATTCTGTTTCAAATTTTAAAAGATCTTCTAGCTAACATACTGTTTTTTAACTGTGTGTCCTTAGAAAAGCTACATTATTTTTCTTGGCTTCAGTTTCCTCATTTATAAAATGGAGACAATAACATTATCTATTGCATGGAATTGACAGGATTAACTGAGGCTATGCATACAAAGCACTTTACACACTGCCTGGCACACAAAAATTGTCTAACAAATGTTTTAACCTAAATCACTATTACCACATTAAGATAATACTGAACAGAACTAAACATAATTCACTGTCTGTATTTATGCCACATCATGACGAATTCTTTAAAAATCCATCCTGATTCCATATTCTCTAATATCGAAAAGCTGGATACCTCCATATTTAATCAATCTTTTCTCTTACCTGAGCCTATAATGCAACCCCAGACTATTTATGTATATGGTCATGTCCCTACTCACCACTCTAGATCATTCATCTTTATGTTATCCCCAGATCCTGTATATGAGGTAGGCAGGCAAATAGATAGGTAGGTGGAAGGTTGAACTAACAAACACATGGAAGACAAAAACCAGGGGGTAAGAGAAAAGGTAGGACTAATTCAAATTGAAATATTTAAAAGAATTTTTTAAAATAATGATCATATAAGTATGTAATGAAATATCTTGCCATGTTTATTATTTATTTGTACACTTATTTATTGAACACCATCCTGAAGCCATAACAGAAGACATGGCCCTACAAAAGCACTTACTGTCCTCCAAACTTGCCTCACCTCTCCTGAAAACCTTTAGCAACACTCTGAGAAACATGAAAGAGGTACTTCTCATATTTACCAAGGTACTGAAGAATTATGGGTAACTGAACCAAAATTATGAAACCATTGTACTTTTCTTAATCTTTGCTTTCTGAATTATGTACTTAGACCTATTTGTGAGCATGCTTCAAGACAGCAGAAAAGTTTACATGTAGGATTCCAACTTCTAGGTTTACAAAGGTCCCCAAGAGTTGTGGAAACATTTCCTCAACCATAAAATATGTAAATTGTTTCCTCATACTTAAAATTGTTCAATGGAAGAAAAGTGACCCCATACCCATATATAGAGGACCATAGAAATTTGAAAAATTGCTGATTCAACTGATAAAATTAGTAAAAGAACAATTTATACGAAAACAAAATCCTTTATTGGAAATTGTTCTATGATATACAATATGCATCATCTTATTTTGATCTTCACAACAACACTCTAAGAAAATATGACAGATTTTATGTCTCTATTTTATAGACAGAAAAACAGACACACTAAGTAGATGATTTGTCTCAAGTCTCCAAATCATTAAGTGGCAAAGCTAGAGTGATTACCCAGGGTTTCTCAGTATATCTTCTGTCATCCCAAACTATTTCAATACACCACAAATAGTGAAATTCATGAAAACAAAAAGCATTTTTACTTGGGAAAAAAAGGAGTCAGCTATATATAAAATAAATTGCAAGTCATATCATTAGAATTACTTATGGAATAATATCAATCTCTTTAAGTAGGACAATATTCCCTTTTTTCATGAATAGTATAATTTATTTAAAAATTAGGAGAGGAATTTCTGGTTATTCTGCAACATTACAGATGATTTCAAAATATTATTCAATATTTACCCTCTTACAGTTTGTCTTGTCTCTCTCTCGAGAGAGAAGTGATATATGATGGTTATGCTCTTTCTTATTCCTCATTTCCTTATCCCTACACACTCAAATTTCTACTCATCAAAAATATACATATATCTGAAATGAAACATGTAACAATATTCCCTTTATATAAGCATAATTCTTCTGTGATCATTAAAATACTGCATACTCCCTAGCTCTAGATAATAATAATAAATTTTTATCTCTTGAATACTTATGTTCTAGACTCTGTCCTACATTCTCCACACTATCAATTCAATTCTTGCAAAAAACTTTATGAAGTAGGCATTATCATCATCATCATTGTCATTATCATTATATAGGTGGAAAAATGGAAGCAGAAAGAGGTTAAGCAACATATTCTTGACTTTGACTAGAAAATTGGAGAACAAATTTAAACTGCAACATTAAAGTACAACAATAACATGGCCTCTTGAAAGAGAAACCTCTTCTCGCACCCATTTCATCCTTTCCTCTACTGGATTCAACCACCCATAAAGAAAGAATCTCCAACTAAAAGATTTCAACCCCTTCCATGTTTGTCTAAGGAATACCAATCTGGGCAACCAATGACTACACTTCATCTCCAAAGTGCTGGAGGACCCTTATGCAAAGTGCCTAGAGAAGCTGGCACAATGTATGTAGCTGTCAATTACTCAGTCTTCTATGTGTCTGGCATTATGCTAAGTGCTTTTCTATATATATGCATGACATAAATGTTAAAACTGTTCTTTTTTTCCCTTGATATGCTAGATCCAAACCTGTTTCTTTGGAAATTAAGTTGGGCAATGGAGAAAATTTCTTTTTACAAAGTCAAGAACTGTTATATCACTGGGCATAGAAAACTGTTGTACAGAGGTTGTAAGGAATGACTATTACCCTAATTCCTGATGAGAACCACATGCACACAAGAAAGTAAAAAAGCAAAAAAAAATTGATTGGAAGACTGAAGTGGTCTTACCACCTAGATTTCCTCTCAAGAAAAAGGAAAGTTAATGAACAAAGTTAGAAGCTTATATATAAATGTTTCCAAATCAATTCAGTGAATTATAAAGAAATTCTCTCCTTGAGCTCTTTCAAATGTTATACTTTCTTGACCTTTTCATAGAAATAGATGGTCAAAAAGCAAATGACAATCAATTGTTTAAATTAAATTTTACAAGGTAAAAAAAAAACTGTGTTCACATATACCATTTCAGAAATCCATATATCATGCAAAAGAAAATATATTAGTTTCCCTTGTTAAAACTACCAGATTGGAGAAATCTGATCTCAAAATAATGCTGATTCATTTGTTCATTAAATAAGAATTCATTGGGCAAAATCTTATATACTTTGAGCTAGACAAAGTAAAAATAAAAATGAATAAAACCTCCTTCTAGCTATGGTGCTTACAGTCTACTAAGCAAAACTGATCTCCTTGAAAGCAGCCTTTCTTTAAATATGTCAATGACTTCTTCCAGCCTGCCATGATAAGATCAAGTGACAGAAATGCATGACATTGGCCTGAGAAAAGCCACATCTCTTAAAAGCACTAAGGAGATTTTGTGTGTGTGGTATGTGTTCCTTCATAAAGTTGAATATATTCAGTATCAGTGGACCTCAAAGGAGAGAAAATCTGGGATTTCTACTGAATCTACTAAATTATCCAAATAGATTCCATATCTTTCTCCTTTCCAATCATCTTTCAAATCCTTGTTGATTAATACATTACATCCAAACCAAAAAAAAAATGTAGAGCTACTCACAGTAATAGAGAGGGGGAAAGGTAGAAAATTATGAATCTACAACTAAGGCAAGGTTCTGGGCTTCCTTGTACATTCCACAGCCAACATAAAAGATATAGATTTTCAGATTATCTGCTCTTTTCCATTGCTCATACCTCCTTTCCCTTCTATTAGCATAGAGAACTGAATTGTCTGCACATTTGCTTGATTCCACTGAGAGACCTGAATTACTACTTGGAAATATCAATCATGCCTTTAAGATTCATCTCTACTAAAAAGCCTGCTGTGAAATGATAATGCACTAACCTGTCTCCAGTTAATGGCAAAATGATGGTTGCTTGAGAAGAAAACACAATGAAAGATAATCTCATTTCAGGGCTGCAAAATAAGAAAAGAGGCATTTAAAACATTTTAAAAGAAATATTGATATAATACAGATGTATAGCTAAGTCCCATTGAAAATTGGTCTCACTGATGGTCCAGACTTCTTTTAAATGGAACTTCCTAAGTAGCTACACTGAGTCTGCTTAACATTATTGCATAAGTCATTTTGTATTTAGTCAATGCTTGTTGATGTCCCAATGCCCCTCCAGGGCTCATAGGAGTTTGCATTTAGAAAGAGATTAACTGGAAAGATAAATTTGGGGCTGATGTAAAATCTTTCATAGAAAAGCTTCTTCCCTTAGTGTTTGACTTCATCTCCTTGAAGGAGACCAGACCCTTCAGAGTGATTATCCTTAACATAAATAGGGCTAGAAAGCAGCCAGTTTGACCTAATGACCACAATTATGATAAGGGTCCACATACAATTCATCCCAAAGTGAGAATATTTAAAGAGTGTCTTGGAAATTGTAATAAAACGAAAAACTAACACATCACTTTTTCATGAAGTATTTTGACATCTCAAATATTATATTTCCAATCAGCAGTAATTGTTCCAATCAGCTACATCTTTCAGGTCATAGGCAGCTATCTTAAAGAATGGTTCTTGTTTCTAGTAATTAGTGTATTAGAAACTGTTAATAAGATCTGAAACTATTATTAAGATCTGAAACTGAAGACATGAAACTAAGCTCTACAAACTGAAGATCAGAATTGTCTCAAAGGCTCATACATACTTTAAACATCACTCTCTTCAGTAGTCATCTGGTATTCACTTCCTACAATAAGCAAATAAGCTTCCACCAGAGAACTGTATGTTATAGAATTCCAATTTGCAAACCAGACTAAATGAATATGAGCCTCACTTTCTTCAACTGTTGCATTGAAATAATTCATTGCTTTTGATCAAAACTATGTGATGCTCTCTGCACACCATAGGATTTAATCAGAAAATTTATAAACAACTGTCTGTTTTCTTTTGACATGTAAGGACATAGGAGGGTCTTGTTTCTTTTTCTTCCCTAGGCAATTTTACCTCAGACCTTGTCCAGAAATGAGAGTGCTATACTTGGCTTCTTAAGCAGGGGACTGATGATTGAACATGGACAGGCATACATTTTTATAGGGATAACTTTTCTGCTGCCAATAACTGAAAGCAAGGATTGCTTAGGCCTCTACAGATTGTTTGAAGTTACTTGCAACATGACTTTCAAAATGTTTTGATCATCCAAGCCTGTTTTACAGAAAACATTTGGGCTAACAAGACTGAAAGAAGCAATATTTAATGATACAGTTCCTATTCATGTCCTTTCCATTATCTTGATAAACTTGCATTTGCTCATTGCATTTCTTTTCCTTAAAAAAAAAAGAGAGAGAGAGGGGGAAAAAAGCCTACTATTTCAGGGTTATTTTTAAATAAGAGAAGCCACTAATTCCTGGTTACCTCTAAATAAGAGAGTAAGCTGGATTTCATAGCAGTAATGCTTTTTATAGGAAAAGAAACCAGTCTTTCCTAGTGAAGCTTATTGCATATATAGAACAGTTAAATTTTAAACCAGCCACACACCCACACATTGTGTAAACACAAGTCATTTCTTTAAACACACACACAAGTGCTTTTTCTGGTAGTGGGTTATTAACACATGTTCACTTGAAGTTTTCCAACACTTTTTTTTTCTCTTAAATGAGGACCTCTACAATAGTAAGAATTGTGTGAAATGGAAAATATATTATGGATACTATTAGCATAAAATTAATTTTTTAATGTGATAAATTATGAGAAAGCATAACTGAAATTCAAAACAGATGAAAATTCAAAAAGGAAAAGACATTTGGAATAGTATTTGAAGATGCTTCCCCAGAGTCTGAGCCAAGTTTTGGGGATCCAGATAAAATAAGCCCTCAAGGATTGAACAGCTGTCCTAATAACATGTGTGCAATAACCTCCTTGAGGCACTTAAAAAATCAACATTTCAGAAAAAGGTTTTTTCCTGCAAAAGGTTTTGTAAAGGAGAAATTCTACATTTTGATCTACTTCCTCTCAATTTCCAAGAAAAGTAAAGTGGGAAAAATACCTCACAAATCTCTCAGTAAGTTGATGGACAAAATTATAAATTTCAATCCAGTTATTTGCCACACTCCCAGACCTGAAAAAAAAGAAATTAAACTGATCAGAAAAACAAAACTAAAATACAAACATTTATTTAGTACTACCAAGACCAACCCTGGCTGCCCTCCTTTTCAAGCAAAGTGAGGATACCCTCCCCCAGTAACTTTGGTGCTACCAGAGCCAAGGACATCAGCCAATCTGGGGGACTCTCCCACTACTAATTGTTTGGAGCAGGACTCAGCTTTTCACAATAAACACAAAAGGCTTTTTCCGCACAAAATGCAAACCATATTGGGCATGTTAAGGCTTTTCCTTGCTCCAATGAAAGCAATGTGATCAGGATAAAACTAAGGAAACTTCAGACAGCCTGTGTGTGCTGGGTGGGTTAGGATCAAGGGACAGAGAGTCCCTGGGACAAGAATGCCACCCCAGGTGGTCGCACTCACATTTCCCAAGAGGCCCCCAAACTAGCCAGCAGTGAATATACTCCACCTCCCCAGAGGGCCCAGGAGCCTTGGGTTCCCATCACCACCACTCCATCCCTCTCCAGCCTACATAGATCCAAAAGCGCTTGCCGTGGAAAGGAGATAGCAACAGGGCACCCATCCGCGGGTTTCCAACACCCCTCCCCAGGGCGCACATGCTCATCTCCACCTCCCTAGCTGTCTCTGATCCAGTGCCGCCCTCACCAGGAGACCCTGGCCTCCCTCCGCACTCACTTGTCCAAGACGAAGTAAAGATCAAAGGCTCTTCTGCAAGAGGGCTGCTCCTGCGCGTGCAGCAGCCCCCCAGGACCGCTGAGCACCACAATCCACAGCCCTGGGAACAGCCAGCTCCCGGAGCTGCGGGCCGCAGACCGTCGGGTCATCATCCTGTGGCCGGGGGGCCTTAGACTCCCTCCTGCCCTTAGCCCCCTTGGCTCGGCAGGGTAGATAAGCAACGGAGGCTGGAGTCACCAAGGACTAGCTCTGGGATGGGAGCGCTGCGAGCAGCTGGGGCGCTGGCGCCCGGGTCAGCTGGACCCACCAACTGATAGAGGGAGGGAGAGAGGGAGAGAGGGAGGTCCTGAGAGGACAAAGGGAGTCTCCGCTGCAGCCACAGCTGCCGCCGGAACTCTTGACGATTCCCAGTGGAAGCGCGATCCAGTCCTCCCCCTCCCGATTCCGGAGAGTTCCTGCAAACAATAAAGGCCCACAGCGACAGCTCGCAAGAGAAGTTCCTCCCCGGCCCCTGACTGAGCCTCTAGCGCCGGTCTCAGACCCGAACAGAGAGTCCCATCCGCCCGGAAGGTTGAAGTCTGGCCGCTACGGCGAGCTGCGGGACAGGCGCCCCACGATCGCAGCGACCGCCAAACAAACTTGGAGTGGAGACCCTCCTCTTTGGGTTTCCTTCCTCCCGCGGCCCAACTCCCCTCCGCGCTGCAAAACTTTCTTCCCTGTGCTCGGTTTGGATCGGTCACAGCTGGGCCAGGCCGTCCCCTTAAGCTGAGGAGGCGGAGCGTGCCCTGGAGCCAGCGGCTTGACAGAAGCCCCGCCAAGACCCAGAGCGCGCTGGGGCCAGCTCCGGGCTAATGTGTCAGTGTGCGCCGGAGGCGGGCGGGGCGGGGTCTGAAGCCCGCAGGGCTACGCGCTCACACTTGTGGGTTCGTGCCGAGCTGGAGATGACTAAGGCTTGCCAGATTTTGAAAGGGGGAGAGGAGTTGAGAAAAACAAATGTCCTCAAGAAATTAAACATGCCCACAGATCCTGCAGGCCTGGCCTATTTCCCCCAGCTGTGCTGGAACAGCCCTCTGAGAGGTCGGAAGACCTAAGGCCAGCAATTCCCTGGGAGGTGGTGACCTGCTCAGACCACACTCAGCCCCTCCCCACCCTCACACACGCACTTCTACCTACCATGCCTGTGTTTGAGAAAGCAAACTTCCTCTTCCTTTTTTTTTTTTTTTTTTAATTTTATAGCAGCATCTCACCTAGCCAAGAAAGGGTGGGAAGGGGAGAGGAGAAGGAGGGAGCGACTTCTTTAGGAATAAAAAGTTATACCTCAAAATACTTTGACCTGTCATTCACCCCAAGCTCCAGATTTGAGAATTTCATCTTGGAAATGATAATTGATTAAGGAGATGGACATGTGTAACCTGATTTTAAGCATTACACAATGCATACGTATATGGAAACATCGACATTATTATGGACCATTTTTATGTTTATAGATCACTTAAAAATAAATTTAACTAATTATAAATTAATTTGATCTTAGTGCAAGCTAGTTTACCCTACACAGACTCCTGCAGAAATTTGAAGTCTGTGTGCAATTTCTCTTCTTATTCATTCTGCACCTCCCTTGGTTAAGACTAATTTCAGAACTTGCAGCTCCATAGCCATGATTGACAGTAATATGAGGTGCTACCTCATAGTTTTTATTTTAAAAGTCAATGCTTTATGATAAAAAGTTCACATCCTACTTACACACTGCCTTTTAGTAATTCTTCTGTTTGTTGCTATGTGTTTTTAACTTTACATTATCTTGATATGCAATCAGGTCTTTCATCTCTGTGAGGATAGAAACCAGTCATTTAACAAATATATTTTAGTACCTGCTATGTGCTGGTGGCTGTTCTAGAAGTGACAGTGCACAGGGCAAGAGGACAAGATCACTCATTCGTGAAGCTACAGCGTGGTCTCCATTTTCAATTGCAGTAGTAATCTAAACAGAATCCAAGATATTATATACCTTTAGCAAGTCACGCCATATCAATATATGACTGAATAAAATCTGTGAAAAAGATGTCTGCCAAAAATTGTGACAGCAGGTTTCAAGTTAAACAGTGAAGAAATACAAGATGTGAGACTAACCATGTACTCTATCCTCATGATGAAGTATTTTAAACACATATTTATTGGCTTCCTTTTTCCTTGGCTTCTTGATTCATTGCCACCTTGTCTTCTGGACTCCACAAATTGGTCTAAGAATCTATCTTCTAGGCCTAAACTAAAGCTAAATACCTTGATTTTAAAATTTTTTTCTTCAAACTCTCAGAGTTTCTTAGAATTTTCTGTTCTTGGTCCACCAAGTTCTTTCCTGATGACACATCCAGTTGAGGTGGTGGCTGACATATAAAGTATATTACCTTTTTTTTTTTTTTTTTTTTTTGGTCTGAGTAATGCATTCAGCCCAGTTCTAGAGCTTTTTGCATTTCACTCACTTGTTCATGTAAGATCTGTAGCAAAGGAGGACATGTCCTCACCTAGCACAGACCAAGGATTAACCAAATTACTTCCATCTAATCAATGTTTGTGGGAAGGCCCTTATTTACTAGGGCAACTAGATGTCCAGATTTGTTGCAGGCTGTGGGGTGTCTGAGGACAGGGGACTTTTAGTACTAAAACTGGGACAATTCCCGGGATAGTCCCTGGCAAATAAGACTGCTGCTCAGGCTTTTTGCAAGCAATAGTGAGTAAAGATAAAAGCCAGATCAGCCTCAGGGGTTTCTCCAAGCCTTGAAGGCAGCAGCACTTCCCCTTCTCTTCCTTGTGTGAGCAGAGGAAAGGACATGGGGCCCTGTGTTAGCCAGAGACTAGCCAAACAAGGTTTCAAAATGACTTTTGTACCATGATAGGCTTCTTGAGACCCTGTTTAACCTTAAATTTTAATGCATTACTCAGACCAAAAAAAAAAAAAAAAAAAGGTAATATACTTTATATGTCAGCCACCACCTCAAAAAATGGGAAAAGAAACACAAATTTTTAAGGATGGAGGAGAGAGAAAGAGAATGAAACTTTAGACTGAATTGTTTAGATAAATAAAACAAAAATATTTTTGTATCAAATTGTATGGGTGTCTGCTAAAGTATTTTGCTTCACAATCCATTCATGCCTTCGATCTTTGAAAATTATTCTTGGTATCAAATCACACTTTTAAGTCAATGTTAGAGTATATCACTTTATTACCAAAAAAAAAAAAAATCCTAAAAACCCCAAGACATTTTAAACTCAGGTGAATGCAGCTAGAATAGCAAGAAACTGACACTTGATGATTACTAGTTGTAAACTATCGTTGTTAAATTCTTCTACTTGAAGAGCTCCTGTGGACTTGTATTCAATTTTATATAATTATTTATTAACTGATTTTTTATTTAACAGATGTTTATTTATACATACTATGTATCTGGTAATATTCTAAGCACAAATGTTAGACTCTCTCAAGAAGTATACATTTCCAATCTATCATTAATTTATTTCTATTGTCTCCAACCCAATAAACAAAAAAATTGAAAATAAACAACAACAATAAAGAAATTTAAAATGTATCCTTGGGTTTTAAAAAATCATAATCTATATCATTTCAAGTATGATTGTATGGCCTCCATGATGATAGACATGAGTCTTCTAGAAGTCAAGAGCCACACTGGAAGTGATTCACAGTCACATCATATGGGAAGTGACTCATTACATGATATCTACAGTGATTCATAGGAAGAAAACAAATCTTTACTACCTATAGGAGACAAAGCTTATTTCAACTTTTATCAGGTATAGTTATTAAAGTACTAAATTTCCCCTATGTCTGAACTAGTTTCTGAGAGTGAATAAAATGCCTTTGGAAAATGCAATTCCTTCTAAATTAACAACTCTATGTATAACAACAAGGAATGTTAACCAAGCTCAGAGAGAATGATTACCAACACATGCCCCAATTTGTTTTAAATCCAGTTTATCAGACCAAACTTGAGACTGAGAGTGCACGTAGGAGGTGTATTGGGCCGTACCCTCAGAAGCAAAACCTATGAAGGATGAGGGGTACAGGAATGGTCAGGGGGAAGGTAGAACTATGATATAATTGCATATTAGACTTCAGCCAACCTCAAGGTGAGGACACCTGAAGCTAGGATGTTCTCTCATAGTTGTCCTAAATTGAGTGAGGCAAGGGGATTGGGATTTTGTGTCCTCTCATTGACAAGTCATTAAATGCGGGCTGTATCTTTATGAGGAACATAAGCAGCTTCCTTTGACTTAAGGGCAATTTTGAAGAGGGACTTAGCTGTGAGCACTCAGTGGAAAAGTCCTGGGGTGGGGAAATTAGTATGTCCTGAAGGAAGAATCTAAGTGATGCAACTATAGCATCTACAAAACTACAACATCCAGAGCACCACAAAATCCAAGGTACCTGGAAGTTAGCTTGATGAAAGTCCTCTCTCACATATAAGGTCAGGCCTTCACAAGACAGCTCAAGCTTGGCTTGGCATTCTGAAATGATAAAGTTATGCAGTGGTATCCCTTCTCTCATGCCTTCTATTGTAGTCCTGATTCAAGTCATTTTGTCTTTTCAATGCAATTAGTTTAATAGTGTTTTGTCTCCCCATATCTCCTACATACTTCAATGTGAATTTTTTGAACTGCAAACTGATCACATGTTCACACACCTAGTTATTGCCAAAGCAATATCATTTCCTAACAATTTAAGGACCTCAACAATAGCACCATAACTCTATATCCTCACCTTTAACAAGTCTAGTCCTCTCAAGTACTCTATGATCCAGAAACCATGATAATCACTGTTCCCCTCAAATGAACAATTTACACCTTTGAATCTTACTTCATTTTGTAATCCAATTTCCCTAACACCATGTTCCAGGTATCAAGTGTTACCTCCTCTTTTTCTTCCTTTCAATTCCCTTACTGAACAATTCAGGTCAAAAGCCACTAGGCAGGGCCAACCAAATGGCTATCAGGGTAGAGAGAATCTATATTTACGCAGAGCAGGGTATCAGAGGATGAGCACAGTGAGGAAACTGTCCCCATGGTGTAGGGAGAGGTAACCTGGGATGGGATATTGGAACCTGAGAAGGGTGAGGAAGATGTCCGCATGGCAAGGTGGTGGGCCAAAATGAAGAGTCAAAAAACAAACCAGCTGAGAAGGTTACCTTGCAAGGGGGTACTAGGGAGACACTGAAGTTTGTGAACCTAAGCAAGATGAGGAGTGCTTCCATGGGGGGAAAGCTCATTGTGGAGTGCTTGGAGCCCAAGCATAGACTCATGCAAACTTGAAGACAGCAACTTACCTCAACGTCAGAGCATGAGGGAAGAAAGCAGAGTGAGGGCAACAAAATGAAGTGTATAAGAGCCTAGGCATTTGAAGAGGAATTCTGGACAAGGAACACAGCCCAGAGTAGGGTATCTGAACTAGAAGAGAGTCAGGAAAGCTTCAGAACAAGGTCATGAAAGTGAGGGACACCAGCATAGGAGATCAAGATTATTTATGAAACCTTACCTAACTGCTTCAGTTTCTCCTTTATATCTCAACAGATCTTATTCTTCTCATAGGTCCTCAGTGCAGCCTGACATGACTTGATTCATAACTCATTTTTCAAATTCTCGTCATTTTATTGCTTATCAGTGAAGGGAGGTTGGGTACCAGAAAAAAAGAAATCAGAAACTGTGGATACCAAGAATGAATTCATTCACTACTCACACATTTCCATTCGAACACATCTCTCTACCTACCAGAAAAAGCTGAAAAAAAAAAAACGACATTTCCCAGACTCCTGTACAGGCAAGTTTTCTCATGGCTCAGGGT